ACATTTACATGTTGCAAATCAACCCGGATTCTTCGATCAACCCCGTAAGTACCCATGAATAAAGAGAGGGCGAATTGGAAAGTTCTTTAACTAGATTTCCAGGTCCAGTGTCAGTCCTTGGTTTATCCATTGTGGACTCACTCAGTCTCTGGCAAATAGACACTGAAAGGTAGAGCAGGAAATGGAAATGGGGTTTTCATTAATTCTGCTTATAATTCCACCTGGAAAGCAGAGATGTGAGGTTCCCCAGTTAAAAACCAGAACAGCTCTGGTTTTAGAATGATTCTGTTACTTGGGTTGTCCATTATTTTCCTCTATGTTCCTCTTTGGTTTTTTATTTCCTTTGGATTTTCTTCTCTTCTGCTTTCTCCTGGGACTCAGGGAGAATTGCCCCCTGCTCTGTTTGTAGTGCAGTGGGGAAAACGGGGGGCCGGCTACCTGGGCGCCTGGCACTTAGAAGCGCCTGTGTTGGTTTGATTCTCCGTGGCTGCCATGTTGAAATTCTTAATAATTTTTGAGCAAAGAGTTCTGCATTTTCCTTTTAGGCTGAGTACCACAGATGATGTAGCAGTTCTGAGGACATGTTTGAACGAAGGGCATGTAAAATGTTCAGATGATCTATACAAAATGCATGCTCTGAATTTTGACTACCTAACTAGCCTTCTTTCCTTTGATCGTGAGCACAACCTGTGAGCAACTGAGTCAGTGTTGGGTTGCCCATGGGACAGGTCTCCCAAGAAGCTTGGAGAAAGGACAAGGTATCCACCCTGGCTGGTCATTTTCCTAATAAATGTGTTCTCTGGTGCCCCCTACAGGACCATCTGTCTTATTTCCATTTTGTGGGTCGGATCATGGGTCTCGCCGTATTCCACGGACACTACATAAACGGGGGCTTCACGGTTCCCTTCTATAAGCAGCTACTGGGGAAACCCATCCAGCTCTCTGATTTGGAGTCGGTGGACCCAGAACTCCATAAGAGCTTAGTGTGGATTCTGTAAGTACCGACTCACTGTTCAGTTAATGGAAAATGCCTCACCCATCTTACTGTCCACCAAATACAATTGTTTTGTGTGCATGTGTGCGTGCATGTGAATGTTTTCGAGGGGTGGGTGTGAAGTCAGGGAAGAGAAGTAAAGAAAATGCTGTTTTTACAGCCAAAAACATAAAAGTGGATTTAACAAGAAACACTCAGTTGACTTTCTTCCTTCATGACGTTTGGCCAGTTGCACTTTCATAGACTAATTTCTTCCTCAAATTATTAAGGTCTGGCCACAAAATTAATCCCCAGGCCTGATAGGTGGGTGGCGGGTTTTGTTTTGGACTCTCCAGTGAATCTTGAGAGGGAAAGCACCCAACACAAAATTAGTGGCAGAGTATTTGATAGTAAGAGAAAGTATCAGGAAAAACTATATTTAGTCGACTTTGTTTTAGAATTATCCTAGAACTCTCTTGGAAGCTGTCGGCACAGTCATGTGGTAACCGCGGGGGTTGCGGGTCCTTGTGAATGAGCCGATTTCACAGGAGGGAGAGATCCAGGCTCTGCAGGGGGAGAGCGAGAGGGGGAGCTGGAGCCAGCTGCACCCCAAGCGCCGGTCGGCCTCACTTCACGTGCCCCGGCTGGAAATGGGTAGTCTGGGGGGGGTTAGGGCCTCCATCCTGTACAAAATCGTTTACTCTGCTTGCCTCTCAGCAAATGCGGGGGGCAGAGGAATCCACTTGAACTTCCAAGTGCTACTTTGTTTGAATGGATGCATTTGGAATGGCTGCCTTAAAGGAGGGGTTGCGAGTGTTTTCTAGGTGTGTCTTCTGCAGGTTGCTTTTCCTTTGACCCCGTTTCCTTTTCGTGAATCCTTCTGTTCGGAGACTCAGTTTACAAGGCAGTCAGGCCACCGTGTCTCATAAAATCTCAGAACGAGAGAGCTACCATCACCTCCCTGTGAATGAGGGAGCCCGGAGTCTGGACACATGCAGAGTGGAGCTGTGGTACCCCTTCAGTACCCGCACCCCTGCCCTCACACGTGCTCTGGGCCCTAGGTTTTCCTCTTCCCCCTCCTGCACCTCTGGGGTGACGGACAGGAAGTGCCGTCTTTCTCCCGGAACGTTCCGTCTAAGGTTCTGTTCGCTGCTGCATGCTGGCAGAGGTCTGACATCCATCTCGTGTCTTAACTTCAACAGAGAGAACGATATCACCCCTGTGCTAGACCACACTTTCTGTGTGGAACACAATGCTTTCGGGAGGATTCTTCAGCATGAACTGAAACCCAATGGCCGCAACGTTCCCGTCACAGAGGACAACAAGAAAGAATATGTCCGGTAATGTTCTGGGGAACCTTGGAGGTTGCCAGCGGGGACATCCAGGTGCCTAGGACCATCTGGGCAAGGCTGGGTTCACATTTAGGTTGTCGAGGCTCCTTGGCTGTTTGAGGCTTCCCTTCCCTGCCGGCACCTGTGACCAGAATCCCAGGAACAGAACAGACTTTCAGCCACGGTCGGGTTCAGTGGTGGGGGCTGTGCACAGAGGTGCCCTTAGTGCCACCAGAGCCGGCCCGTTGAAGGGAGGATAATGACTCCAGAGCCCAAGCTGGGGAAGGGATTGCAGGTGACCTCCCAATTCTGGGTGTGAAGGTGGTGAACGCAGAAGAGAATAGAAGCCTAGAAGTTTCCTTGAGATCAGTCTCGCGGAAGTCTACTCCATAGTAGTTTGTTTTCTCTTCTTTTTTTCTTTAATGTTTATTTTGAGATAGACAGCAGACAGGGGTCGGGCAGAGCGAGAAGAGACAGAATCCCAAGCAGGCTCCGTGCTGTCAGTGCAGAGTCTGACGTGGGGCTCGATCCCACAAACCATAAGATCGTGTCCTGAGCTGAGATCAAGAGTCGGACCCTTAACCAGCTGAGCCGCCCAGGCGCCTACCTCTTCAGGCAAATAAATGGCCAGTCGCTCGCACTGGGGAATTGGAAGCATGCGGGCGTGTCCGCGTGTGGAGGCTGCCAGACTGGCGCGTGTTCTCACGGTATCCTGTGTGTCATTTTCAGGTCTACTTTTCAGTTATGGCACTTGCTCTAACAGGTCAGGTTAATTCCTACAGCTATTTTTAGCGAAGCATCAGCATGTGTAAGGGCCTGTGTTGCTTATTTTTAACCTGATCCTGAGGCTAGGCAACGTCAGCCGGTGGGGGTTTCGTCCCATCTGGCCCCACCTCCGCCCCCTCCTCCCGCCCCAAGGGGAGGCCCGGCAGGCAGGGTGCCAGGTTCAGATGTCAGAACCTTCTGTGGAGAGAACTTTTTTTTTTTCCATGAACCACTTGATGCTGCCTCCAACTTGTGAATTTGTTTCTCAGGTTGTATGTAAATTGGAGGTTCATGCGGGGGATTGAAGCCCAGTTCTTGGCTCTTCAGAAGGGGTTTAATGAACTCATTCCTCAACACTTACTGAAGCCGTTTGACCAGAAGGAACTGGAGGTACGTGCTCACCGGGCCGAGCCAAGGAGGCATTAAAGGGCGCAAATGAGATCGGTGTTTTCTTGTTTTACAACCTGCCTGCAGAATGAGGCTTGTCTGTCCCCGCGGCAAGGCCGGGGGTTTGTCGGGGCTCCCGACTAACAGGCCTAGAGCGAGCGGGGTGTCGAGGGCGTCTGAGCCTGTTTGTGACAAGGACAGGTGTCTGCTTGGCGGCAACGAGTCCAGATCATTCTCCGGACATTGTTCGGGGTGTCCTGTGGCTTATCCTCATGTTCAAGATCTCCAGCCATGGCGGTTTCCAAACCCCTCCCACGTATTTACCTCGGATCGAGGAAATTCTCTCGCGTATAACCAGACTGTCCCACCACGTCAACTTTGTGTTTCTGTTCTAGCTATTCTTAGACTCCGCACAAAGTGTCATTGTCTTCTCGTGTCCCACTTCGCGTGTGTGAACACAGAGACTCATTCATCCCTTACCCACGTCCGTGCCAAGTGGCTCACGGCTTTGAAATCCTTGTCTTTCTGCCGCGGCGAGGCGCCTCCGTGGGCGGGCAGCAGCTCCGGGTGGGCCTCCCACCCGGTGCAGAAACTCGCACACCACTCCCCTCCCAGCCCTGCTGTGACGGCCCCTGGGGTCCCGGGGAGGTGGCCCCGTTTTACAGTCAGCCCCTTCAGTCTCGCCGGTCGGCCCTTTGGTACTGACTGCTCGCGGATGAGGAGAGCAGACCTGGTTGTAAGAAAAGGCGCTGTTGGGAGCGTGGGCCCGTCTCCCTCTCCGCTTGTCTGAGTCTCTGGCTAGTTTATTCGGACGCCACGAATTCCCTCCTTTCAGACGCTGGGAACCTGGGAGGCTGCCATGACCTGCTCTGTACGTCTGAGAAATAACTTGCCTCTAAACGCCTTCGCAGCTGATCATAGGCGGCCTGGATAAGATCGACGTGAGCGACTGGAAGTCCAACACTCGGCTGAAGCACTGTGTGGCCGACAGCAACATCGTCCGCTGGTTCTGGCAGGCCGTGGAGACCTTCGACGAGGAGAGGAGGGCCAGGCTGCTGCAGTTTGTGACCGGGTCCACGCGGGTCCCTCTCCAAGGCTTCAAGGCTTTGCAAGGTGACTGATGTGGAGGCGGGGCTCCTGGCCCCACGCGTCTCCGCCGGGCATGTCCCCTGCCCGGCCACGGCAGGAAGAGCTGGACCGCCGTGGTGGTGTTCTCCCGAAATGTCTCCTAGGAAGTGGCGCGGCCTGTGTTTTCTCGTAGCGAACGCTGGGGGCGTGGAGGTGCTCGCGTGGCGGCCGCGGCCGCCCCCACCCGCGGGGGCCCTCTTGTTGCCATTCTCTCTGCCGGCCCCCCAGTGCTCCGGGGGTGCTAGCCTCTCTCTGCCCAAGCTGAGAGGAGATACCTATAGACGCAAAGGGGGTGAGAATCTCAGCAAAACAAAGCCAAGCTTCCTGCCAAACCCACCTTTCTCGGTGTCCCTGCAGGCCACGTGCCCAGCAGGCGGGGTGTCATCTGGGGTGCGCAGCTGTGGCGGGTGCTGGCCAGCCTGGTGCCCGCCCAGGGCCGAGTTGGGCGAGACCTGAGCGAAGAAGGACCCCATGGAGCCGGTCCCTCCCCCACCCCTACAGAACTGGGGGACAGAGGGAGGGTACAAATAGCAGCAAGTCTTTGGGGAAAGAAATCAGAGGTTCTAAAGTGCACCATGGATTCGTTCCTGAGTCTTCTGGTAGCAGCCGTCTCACTGCAGCCCTGAGGTGAGAGCGGCCCGGCCTGAGCGCCAGGAGATGGAGTCTCCTGCTGCCGTGTTGGTCATGAGCTCCAGGGGTCCTTCCTGAGCCTCGGTTTCCTCCTCTATGCAGAGGCACTGCCTGAGAGGCTCCGCTGTCTGGTGTAGGTACCCATCCCCTCTCTGGTCCCTTCCGATGCTGATAAAAAACCTGATATCCAGATTTTTGATAACCCTGAGAGCCAGAAGGAAAAAGGTGAAGAATGTTAGTATGTTAAAATGTAGCAGATGGACCTTTGCATGTTCCTAGAGATAGCAGGTGTATTTCATGTAGAGAACATTCCCTGTAGACTTTTCCAGATTTGAAGGACTTCTTTGAGTGACAGAAGCTACTTCCATCCCCCTGGGCTGTCGTCCTAGGTGTTTGTGTCTTTTTCTTTTCCCACCGTCCCTCCGCCTGGGGGATTCATGACTGTGTATCGTGCTTTTGTCATAACCCTGCTGTCCTCTGCCAGGGGCGGGCCCACTTGCTAAACATCTTGTTTAAAAAAAAGAAAAACCGTCACTGGTGATTTAAGGATTTTGTCCTTCAAATATCCCCACTTGAGTGGGCCCACGGCCAGGGTCCAGGAGGAGGGCTCTCACGCGTCTTTTTCTAGAATGCGATTTTCTAGAATGGCTGGGATAGGTCGCTGGACGGTCAGCGTGTCCTAACCCAGGTGCAGGCTATGCCGCCGCGTGAAGCCCACGACCGTCCTGCCCGGGCATCGGGCCGAGGGTGTGGTTGGCAGCGGGGCCCGGGGCCCGCCTCTGAAGTGCATTAACTAGAATGTTGTCTCGTAAGGTTCTACAGGCGCGGCAGGGCCCCGGCTCTTCACCATCCACCTGATCGACGCCAATACAGACAACCTTCCGAAGGCCCACACCTGGTAAGGACCTCGCTGTGGCATCGCGGGGAGCCTGTCCCTGTGCCTGCCACCCCGCGCGCGACTCCCCGTGCTTCCTTTACCTGCGCCCCAGGACAACTGGCCGTGGAACCAGTGTCAGGTGGGATGAGCGCTTGGCCGTGTGTCACATGAGGGTTATCAGAAGTCTCTTTCGTGAAACCAGTTTTGTCGTGAGATGTGATTAACGGCGGCTGGCACTCGGCAGCTCCGGCCTTGCCTTTGCTGGGCCGCGCGTGTGCACACACGTACCTCCCTGCGGGGGAGTTGTCATTTTCAATCCGGAGTTCCCAGTCTTTGCTTCCTGTGTTTTCCTTCTTGGAACTTGGTGATGGATGCATCTTGCACATTGAAAACTTCTTAACTTTCCTAAATTTAACATCACTCATACCCGTAGCAGATGATTTTCCCTTGCGGTTTAAAAATCAAGTCACTTACGTACGCTTTGTCTCAGAAACCACGTCTCAAAAAGACCAGCGTGTCCAGTTCGGAGAGCCAGTTCTTTGCCATCGAGATGTGTAACACTGCAACAGAAGCTTCCTGATTGGGAACCCAGGGGTGTGGGTTCAAGTGCTTACGTGGCCAAGGCCCTACCGAGGCTGTGGCGTCCAGCCCCGCGTGGCCGTTACAGACACAGCATAGTTTGACCCACGGCAGCTGCTTTCTTCCCTAGGACTCTGCCCTTTCATAGTTGAAAGTTTAGAATAAAACGGATGTGAGAACTGTCCTCAGATGCTGAAGTCCCAACTTTAAGAAAAAAACTATCACACGGTTTAGCCCAGTTCTTTCTTGACAAAAACCATCCTTAACTGCTTGACCGCTAGTAATTCAGTAGGTCACTATCTCGGTCAGAATTTTGTATGTTTTGACTTATTAGGAGAGAATATCCTTCTTAAAGGATGCCTTTTCTTTCTTTGTTTTTTTTTTTTTAATACAACACTAGAATTTCTCCAGGGAAATGTTGATTTATCTCCTCCTATCAGAGATTTGACGTTTTACTAGTTTTGCGATAATAGTTTGTTTCTGCAGGAAACATCCCAGACTGCCCCATTTGGTCTCAGGTCAAGTCACGGAGGATTAGACAGACAGGCAGTGGATTGTCAGTGGTGATCTGACAGTCAGCCAGTCTGGATTACGGGGGTCCACATGCGAAGAAGACAACCACCACTGCATCAGGAAGGATCTTTGTCCTGATATAACCAGGACATAGTAATCGGTTTAATTTTGGCTTTCAAGATCTTAGAACTTATTTTGTTCTGTGTTCCATGAAAAATCTTTGCTTTCAAAACAGAAAAGCACCAGGGGGGAGTGGAAAACTTGCCTGTACCCCCCACCCCAGCTGGGCGATGAGATGCTTGGCCCCATCCGCCTGTATACTCACACGCTGCTAGCTCGAGGCCCTGAATGCTCTGCTCCCGCCTGGACCAGGGCCTAGGTCCAGATGGCCCCAGCAGTGACTCTGTCGCTCTTTTGTCCTCTTTCAGCTTTAATCGGATCGACATTCCACCTTACGAGTCGTATGAGAAGCTCTACGAGAAGCTGCTGACGGCCGTGGAGGAGACTTGCGGGTTTGCCGTGGAGTGAAGAGAGCAACCAAAGGCAACAGATTCTAGCTCACGACCACCAGACCAAAAGCAAGCTTTCTGTGCGCCTCCTGCAAAGCTGGCTGAGGCCCGGGAACCCTAGATGACCCGAGGGAAAGGGTTTTCTCCCCTCCTTTTCATTGGGGGAGCGAGGGGGGTGGGGGGACTTTGGTTGGCGGCTCCCACCCATATTTTCCTCCTTTCTGACAGTGATCCCCGCCCCCCCCCTCCTTCCATCACCCATCCAATAAAATGCAGCCAGGTTTAGCATTTGGCTTCGGTCACACAGGATACCCTGCAGCGACTGTAACCCACATGGTTGGTGATAGGCTCACTGCCCTGTGGTCTTTATAGGAGGATCGACCCACAAGTTCTGGAACTGAGCTTGGCTTACTGAGGGTTTGTAACCGGTAGCTCTTCTGTCTCCAGATAGTCCTGAGGTCCCTTTTCAAGTTCTGCAGCTCAAATTCCAGTCACACCCTAGCAGCCTGCTCTGGGAAGCAGATTAATTTCTAACTGAAAAATAACCGTATTGTCCATTGGAATTCTGCCCCAGCAGGAAGCTTGCATCCAAAATGTGCTTCCCTTTTGGAAAAGTAAAGGAACTGGGGCAGCTTTTGCTGGAGGCCTGGGGTATTTTTAAGGGGATCCTGGCTGAAAAAACTTGTTTTGCATAGAGAAAAATGATCTTCCTTTTAAGAGTCCCTTTTGCCACATTATCTATCTAGCTTGAGATATTTTTCCAGTGAAAATACCACATAACAGAGCTTATAAAAGAACACACCAAACCAGCCTCAGATCCATGCAGCCAGTCCCGGGCTGCGGCTCCCCCACCACCTGTATGTTGAGGAGGATCGGCTGGGTCACTTGAATACTAACCAAGTGTTGTGCGGAAGTTGCTAAGAGCTGAACTAACAGAATTCTGCTGTTGTAGCTGCTGGCTTGGTGCAAAGTAGCCTCACAGGGAGAGAGGGAACGGGCCACCCCACTGACTTAAATCCACCCTGAGTTACGGTTTTATGAAGAGTAGGGCACGAATGCAAACCTGTCGGTGGAGGGGACCCTTCACCCTGGCTCATTCTGCTCGTTTCCCGAGTGTCGGTGGAGACGCGAACAATCGCTACTACTCAGTTCGCTCGCCCAGACGTCCTCACGTGACGAGCAAGGCCAAAGCAAGCCTGGACCCTGAGTTTCCAACACCATTTTCCAATTTGCACAGAAGTTCAACAGTATTTGAACAAGGTGGTTTGATTTGCGATGAACTTCCGTGAAGGGCAGCAGCCAATCGTCCTGTTTGGTTTTTTGTTGTTGTTTTGTTTGGTGGGGGGTTGGGGGGGCAAATGCGGGGTAATTCATCAGGAAGACATTTCACTGTCGGAAGTTTGCCGTTGGTTTCGGAGTTAAGCGTTGGGATCCAGCTGTGGGTCTGAGGTGGGTCTGGAAGGCTTTCGGGTGACTCCTCTTTTTGTCACGGATACCTCCGGAGCTAGGTGAGTTTGGAGGCGAGCTCACCCTTGTGGGTCTTGCCGTGGGGTTCTTCGGCTTGCCCCGAAGCATTCTGTGGCTGCCGTGCGGGAGCTCGGGAACCCCTGGGAGATAGACCCTCCCTCGGAACAAGAAGTTCACCTGGTTCGGTGGGCCGTGGGCTAGCGGCTGTGGGTTCCAAGAGCTGTGAGAGAGCGCGCGTCTGGCCATTTACGGAGGAGGTGCCAGGGTAGAGAGGATGTCAAGTGTGACTGCTGCAGAGGAGAGATTAAATCCATTCAGGAAGTCCAGGCCGTATCATGGGCTTGGACTGTCAGAAGTTCTGCCTTGCCCCTGTCAGGCTTACCCCGAGTCTCGCTCGTTTACCATCGTCCTTCAGGGCGTTCTAGAAGCTGGCTCCCCCTGACTCTCTAGTCCTCCCTCTTAACCTTCCTCTGCGAGAGTAAGAAGTGTCGGCTATGGCCCTTCCCCCACAGAGGCCTCCTCTCGAAGGTGCACCTCAACCCCCCAGTGTGAGGAGGAGACCTCCACAGAGAGCTGAGGGCACATCCAGACCGAGCGGGGGAACCGCGGACTGTTTCTGTGGTTTGGCCCAGAGCTGCAGGAATGAGCGGGGAGACGAGGGTCTAGCGGGACTGTGGCACGTGGCTCCTGTAAGACGATCTTCCTGCTGTTGGGAGGAGCAGCCCTTAGAACCCGTGCCTGCCAGCCCCATGCTGCCCACGGGTGTCAGGCGTGGGCCCAGCACGCGGGACCGGCCTGTAAGGCGGGGCTTTTCTCCCTCATCAGTCGTCCTCGTCAGCTGTGCGTTACAGTGGGGCCTGAAAGAGCAGAACTTTCCAGAGCCCTGGTTTACTCTCGCCAGACAGGCCCGTCAGTAGCATTGCACTTCTAGAACCTTGGATGAGGCCTTTTGAACCACGGAAAGAGCAGTGTGGCAGACAGTGGGGAAAAGCTCCCGATGACTCCACTTTGGGTCCGCGTGGACCCTGTTCCCATGAGCTCTCGTTTGTGGCCCTTGGTGATCCCCAACACCCCCCGCCCCCGCCGTCCCCTTCCCACCCCTTGGCCCAGATGCTTCAGGGGCCCGACTTGCAGGCTTGCCCTCACCAGCGGTCATCAGCCGACCCTCAGGGATGCAGCAAACCACCGCTCTGCCAGCGCTGTAGGAAGGAGAAACAAAGGGGCTGCTTGGGGGACACGGTCAGGGCAGCTCTCCCTGAGGGGAGACTCTGCCCGCCAGGAGTCCCGTGCTCCCCGAGCTTGCTCGGCCGCGTGGTCCCAATTCAGGTGAGGGGGTCCTCCACCCTGAGCTGTCAGGAGTGGCCTTCCGCAGAGAACCCGCCCCATCCCCCCGGCCCTGTCCGCAGCCAGGCGCGTGCCGCACGGCAGCCTTCCCGAAACATAGTATGAATTTTTAAAATTTGTTTATTTTTGTTTCTCAACCACTTTATAATGTATTTTTTAATTTATTTTGTAATGTCTTGTTTTTAAGTATTGCTGCTATCCTTGTTATTCTTCCCACTGTTTTTATTGCTGATTTATTTTGTGAAAATTGTACACTAATGTTCCGTTTTATGTCAAAATCAAAAGTATTTAAAGAAATACTAGTTCTATTTAATGTGGTTATGGAACCAGCTGGAAACACAAAACAAACAGTGATTGTACAGCAGGCTGGACCCAGGAGGTCAGGTTCATTTTGTTACATATGCAATAAACTCACGACTTTACATTTTTTTGGCGTCTGATACTTTGGTGTGGAGATGAGATTCCTTTTTTTTCTCTCCAGTCCCGCAAAAAAGAAAGTCAATGGCTTGAAATACTGACAAGGACCTTCTAGGGAAAAAGGACAGACTTCAGAACTGTAGAAGGAACTGAAAAAACACGGCAAGCAGTTGAAAGTGCTCTACCAAAAGCAGAAACTTGTGGGATCGAGAAATTTTTGAAGCTGTTGACTGGTTCCTCACATGCTGGTCATGTTTGTTGGTTTGCATTTTTTTCTTTTTTAGATATTTTTACTGTGGTAAGATACACGTAGTATCTGTCAGTGTATCCACTGGTTAAGGTCTACCTCGGTGGCATTAAAACATTCACAATATTGTATCACTGCCAATGTACCCAAACTTTTTCATCCTCCCAAACTAGAACCTAGACCCACTAACCAGTAACTGCTGCTCCTCCTTCCCCCGACACCTGTCCTACTTGGTCTCTGTGAACCTGCCTATTCTAGGTACTTCATGTAAGTAGAATCATAAAATATTGGTCTTTCCGTGTCTTATTTCACTTAGTGTAACATTTTCAAGGTCTACCCATGTTGAAGCATCTATCAAAATTTCACTCCTTTTTATGGCTGAATGGCATGCCCCTGTAGGGATGTACCACATTGTGTTTTTCCGTTGATTTGATGGACACTTGGTGGGATAATTTTCTTTGTTGACTTGACCCAGCCATGATACCCAGAAAAGGCATTACAGAGTAACATCTGTGCAGTCTGGATTTCTCTCAGCAGTGTTCCGCAGTTCTCAGTGCGTAAGTCTTTAGCCTCCTTGGTTAAGTTTATTCCTAAGTATTGCATTCTTTTTGATGCTATTTTAAATGGAATTGTTAATTTTCTTTCCAGATTCTTCATTGTTAATGTCTAGAAACACAACTGATTTTGGTGTGTTGGCTTTCTAGGCTTCAACTTTGCTAATTTAATGATGTGTGTGTAATCTTAATGTTGTCTACATATAAGATTGCATTGTTTGCAAACAGTTTTATTTCTTCCATTCTAATTTGGATGCCTTTTCTTTCTTTTTCTTGCCTAATTGTTCTGGCTAGCACTTCCAGTACTATCTTGAATAGAGGCAATGTGAGTAGACATCTGGTCTTGTCCTGACCTTAGAGGAAAAACTGTCAGTCTTTCACCTTTGAGTATGATGTTAGCTGTGGGACTTTTCATATATGGTTTTCATCGTGTTGAGGTATTTTCCTAGTATTGCTAGTGTGTTGAGTGTTTTTAACATGAAAAGGTATTGAATTTTGTCAAATGGTTTTGCTGTGTCAGTTGAGAGTATTTACTTTCCCTTCCGTTCTGTTAATACGGACTATTAAATCAATTGATTTGTGTATACTGAGTGATTCTTGCATCCTAGGAATCCTCTTTTGTCATGATGTGTATAAAACTTTTATTCTGTTGTTGGATTCGACTTGCTCATGTTTTGTTGGGGATTTTTTGCATCCATATTCATGAGGGATACTGACCAATAGTTTTCTTGTAGTGTCTTCATCTAGCTTTGGTATCAGGGTGATGCCGGCCTTCTAGAATGAGTTAGGAAGCATTCCCTCCTTCTTTTGGAAGAGTATGAGGAAGATTGGTGTTGATTCCTTAAATGTCCGGTAGAATTCGCTGATGAGGCCATTGGGTCCTGGGCTTTTCTTTGTCGGGAGGTATTTGATTACTGATTCAATCTCCTTACTAGTTATAGGTCTATCCAGACTTGATGTGTCTTCATGATTTAGTCTCCATAGGTTGTG